TTTGGCTCCTAGGAATGTGGAGGGTCACCCCACGGAGGGAAGCCGGCTCCACACACATGGCTCCAAGCGCGCGACAGCGGATCGCGTTACCTGCGGTGGCCCCGACCTGACACTTTCATCAGATTCACGTGCGCTAACTGTTCAGGACGCACAACCAAGGGACACGGCGCATCCAGAGCAGCCTCTGTGGACAACGTGAAATGCTCAGCTGCGAGTCTCATGTACTTTAGTTTCCACCAAAATTTTTCTTGTATTCAAAATTAGCAAAAGTGCTTGCGTATTGACCACGTTTGCGATTCTTCTCCTCCGTCTAAAACACAAGCTTAGTGCAGAATTAAACACTCAGAGACTCCCAGCATTCCTGCCTCAGCTCTGCTTTGGCCTCAGGCTCTGCAGGGCACAGGGACAGAGTCCTGAGTTCAGGGATGCTGGAGGTCTGGGGGAGCAGCCAGTAACTGTTCATAGGTGGCCCCTGCGAAATTCCAGGCGAGAAAGTCTCAACAGAAAGCCCTCAACTATTTCCCAAGTACTTTAAGAGAAGCACATTGGTCACCTTTACCTTTAACGTGTCCCCCCACGGCCAGGCGTCCAGTAGGAAACAGCCCAGTGTGCCGAGACCAAGCACCACTCCTGGTCACTGAGAGGGAGAGCGGGCGGGCGGAAACCACAGCACCCATCGCGGGCCTTCGCCCCGGCCCTTCCCCTGCACCCTCTCCGAAGATCCAGGCTCCACACACCACGGCCAATGCTTAGCCAGAGCAGCACCATGTCATGAAAACAGCATTGGTCGGCTGCGGCCCCAGGCGTGTGGTTGGTGCAGCCGAGCCCCATCTGCACCTGAGAGAATTCACGAGGAAAACAGAGCCTGATGGTGAGTAGCTACAATGTAGCTGGGAAGGCAGAGTGTCAGCCATATTAACCTGTTAACCGAGCGGGACATATAAATACGTCAAACGTTGCATACAGTGAAAAGGGAATTCCCCGGTTATTCCCCGGTTAACAGGTTTAAGATATAAATATTAGACTCCTTGTGCTTTTAGCTGCCAGAATGCGGAGAAAAGCCTGCTCTTCTCAGCCTCAGCCCCCTGGTCACCCCTTCGTCACTCAACCACCACTTCCTCGCCGCCTCCTACGTGCTGCTGAGCGTGAAGCAGGAAGCAGGAAACCGGCTCTTCCCACTGACCCCACACGTGACAGCTGTCTGCTGGAGAGGTCTGTCCAAAAGCACCTCTGCTGCTGTATAGCACCGTCGTCACACTGCGGCCTGCCCCGGTGCTGTGGGCACCCAGCTCCTTACTGACTCCCTAGGGTAAATCAAGTCACCTACCTGCCTTTGCTCACAACCCTGATCCTCGGTTATTCCTCTAAGCTCTTGCTGAAACAAGAGTCCAGCCGTAAACATGACCATCGCTCTTTCTTCCGCTAAGCACCTGCCAGTCCCTTTGCCCCAGACTGGACATCACATCGACTGTTGGCACACCAGTCCGAGTCCCAGACACACACCACAGTCAGACACGGACCACGAGGCCCCTCCCCGCCAGGGCAGCTGCTCCATCTGGAAGAGCCCGGGCGAGAACAGTCCACTGTTCTGTAGTTCGGGTAGACATTCTGGGCCCCTCCTTCCTAAGCTCTGCAGGTGCAGTGTCTAAGTCCAGATCTGCATGCACAGTTCAGCAGCCACGTCCAGCTCATGTGGGAGCACCTCACGCTGTCCCTGCCCTCACCACCTGCAGGGCGTCAGGCGCAGCGCACGCTGGCGGCTCTGGGGTTCCGGCATGTGCTGCTAGCCCGCGGTTGAGCTGACCTCCCCGCCGCTGGGCACTTGGGTTATCAACGTCTGCCGTTATAAACATCTTTATGCGAGTTCTGTCCCACCTCCAGTCACTTCTCCGGCAGTGATCCAGACTGGAACTACGTGACTACGAGGTACTGATTTATACACGATCTTTAATGTGCACGACCAAGCTGATTTCTATAAAGAATGAAGTTTAAAAACACATCAATCTTCCCAAGCATTGACTTAAAAAAAAAAAAAATACGGCATCTTGATAGGCAAAAAAATATCGTATAGTACTTGTTTTTTAAACTGCGTTTTTTTATTATAAAGTTAAACTTTTAAACATTTATTACCACTTGTATTTCATCTCATCAACTATCTGATAAAATCCAGTCAAATATTATGCAGAAGAAAGTAGGACATTTTAAAATTGATTCTAAGAGATCATTATAGTAAGTATAATAACCTTGTTATCACACTTTCCCCAAACTGCCTTTTTTTTTTTTTAATCCTCACCTGAGGATATTTTTACATTTCTCTTTAGAGAGAGTGGGAGGGAGGAAGGCAGACAGAGAAACATGGATGTGAGAGGCACGTCGATTGGTTGCTACCCACACGACCCCAACTGGGGCCAGGGACTAACCACTGAGGTACGTGCCCTTGGCTGGAATCGAACCCAGGACTCTTTGGTCCACAGGCCAATGCGCTAAACACTGAGCCAAACCAGCCAGGACCCCAAACTGCCTTTTAACTCTGTATTTCCATGAACAAAATTACGATTCCTTACAGATCCATCTGATGTTCCACCCTTCCCTTCGCCCGTCACGCTCGTCCCGCTCATCCCCGCTGTCCGCACATCCCCTGGCGGCTGTCAACCCTGCACTGGACTGAGATGCAGTGAGAGCCCTGGACTGTGCTGTGCGCACGGTCTCGCTCTCGTCAGTAACCTGTGCGTGTGGACCATCTCCACCCTCAGCTCACTGAAAGGGGCTTGTCCGTGGGCTCCCACGTCTCTCTCACTTCAAAGCCCAGACTCTTTCCTCGGCACAGACAGTTCTGCTTCCCCCTGGGTCCTGGGCTTCAGAACATGGAACCCAGTCTGGGGGTACTAGTCTCTCTGGTCAGGTCACCTCCCCCTGGCAACCACTCAGACTAGCCACCAGGAGTGTTCCACGGCCAGGCTGAGCTAAACCACACACCAGTAACAGTTTCAGTGATCACACGGACACAGCGTCAGACAGCGGAATAGGAGCTGCCTCTGAGGAGAGGTCAGCGAGGGCCTGGCAGGACGGCGTGCCTCCCCGGAGCTGGCAGCAGGGAAGGGACCGCCAGGCGACATGGACACGGCAGGGATCAGAGTCTCCCCTGTGGGGCTGACATGCGGCCTGAGAGAACACAAAATACCTCTAAGATCTGAGCCACATTTAAAAAACTGCTCCCGGGTCACTGCTGCATTCGGGAGGCAGGACTTATCAGGGCATTTAGAAGACGAGAACCGAGGCTCAGAGCTGACTGCCCACGTGGCCAAGAGGTGAAGACCTGGTCTCACACCACACTGGCTCTGAGCCCAAACATCCCCCACGCTGCTCTCCCCTTCCCACTGGTGCCCGAGTCCGCGGCCCCTATAGGCCCCTCCTTGTCAGTACGGCTCCCGATGGCGCCTGGCTTCCTCGTCTCACAACTCCACCACTGGACGCTCAGTCCAGTCCACACTGCAGAGCTGCTCATGGGGACTAGAGACCGTGATGAAGTCCCGGACTAGTGCCCATGTCACAAGGACAGCTCAGCAAAGGTGAGGTCTCTGCTCGTCCCTCATCACTTCACAGATTTTCAAAAGCTCTTTCAAACCAAATGACACTTCCTGGCCGGTGTGGCTCAGTGGTTGAGCGTCAAGGCTGCACCAGGAGGTCCCCAGTTCGATTCCCGGTCAGGACACATGCCCAGGTTGTGAGCCGGATCCCCAGTGGGGGGCACGCAGGCGGCGGCCAGTTGATGTTCTCTCATCGATGTTTCTATCTCTCTCTTCTTCTCCCTTCCTCTCTCTCTAAAATCAATAGAGGAAAAAACAAAAAAAATTTTCTAAAAAAAGAAACTTCCTGGATGTCAGCCTCTGCCTATGACATCTCCACTCTCTTCGACACCAGGGCAGTGAGGGGAATGAGGCTGATGTCATAGTTACGGGAGAAGACCCAGCACCGCTCCTCAGAGCGAAGGCTCACCCTCCCTCCATATGTGGAAGAGAAAGTGCACTGGGAAAGGAGCAGGGGCCTGCATGAAGGTGAATGACTGTTAGTGAAGAACGGTAGGTCACCACAAAATGATCATTCCCCAAACACCTCTCCAAACAGGACATACAAAAGGCCAGGAAACACGTGAAGAAATGCTCAATGTCACTAATCATCAGAGAGATGCAAATTAAAACGACTATGAGGTATCACCTCACACCTGCCAGAGTGGCCGCCATCAACAAATCACCAAACAACAAGTGCTGGTGAGGGTGTGGAGAAAAGGGGACTCTAGTGCACTGCTGGTGGGAATGCAGACTGGTGCAGCCACTATGGAAAACACTATGGTGTTTCCTCAAAAAATTAAAAATGGAACTGCCCTTTGACCCAGTGATCCCACTTCTAGGAATATACCCTAAGGAGCCTGAAACACCAATCAGAAAGAATATATGTACCCCCATGTTCACAGCAGCACTATTTATTATAGCTAAGACCTGGAAACAGCCCAAGTGCCCATCAGTAGATGAGTGGATAAAAGAGCTGTGGTACATGTACACAATGGAGTACTATGCAGCTGTAAGAAAGAGAGATTTTACCCTTCGAGACGACATGAAGGGACCTGGAAAGTACTCTGCTAAGTGAAATACGCCAATCAGAGAAAGATAAGTATCACATGATCTCACTTATTTGTGGAACAGAATGAACAAAATAAATTGTCGAGCAAAATAGATCCGGAAACATGGAAATAGGGTGCAGACTGACAAACCTCAGAGGGGAGAGAAGAGACAAACCAAAGAACTTACATGTATGCATGCATAACCAATCAACATGAACACTAGGCTGGGAAGATGGGAGGTGGGGTGTCAATGAGGAAAAAATGGGGACATCTACAAACTTTCTTCAGTAAAAAGGAAAAGATCATTTGCGAATGATCAGTCAGTGCCCACAGCAGGAGCGACAGCCGGGTGCGGCACGGGCACCGAGGCCCCAGCACTTACCTCCAGGGGCGAGGTGCAGAGGAACCCTGTGAACTGCGGTCGTGTTGGACGGTCAGGTCCACCCGGCGAAGGGAGCAAGAGAGAACAGAAAAGGAAACATTAACACACGGTTTCTCAATAAAGCAGTTTAAGTAACCCTCAAGTCTATATAAAACCAATGCCCTCTATCTGACCCACAGCACGTATCCAACTATTTGAATTAGAATAAGCATTTTTAAAAATCTGTATAAAAACAAACAAAACACAACAAAAAGAACTCGAATGTTTCAAGCCCTGTCTCACGCCCTGTATGATCAAGCACCTTCCTCTAGAGGAGGAGCCGGCACTCCGGCCATGATGCCACCAGCACAGCTGAGTCGATGCCAAGCAAAGAAAAAGACATAAATCAAGAGGAACCAAGAAGAGAGAGAGAGAAATAGTCAAGGTCACAGAGGAGGCGGGGTGACCCAAGTGAGAGAAGGGGAGCTGTCCCTGCACAACCAGGGACCAGCCAGCTCACTGGACTCCCACCCCACGTGTCCTTCCTCTCGGCCCGACACAGGGGCTCACAGATTCCAGATGGAGCTCAGTCCACCGCCTGGTGCATTGAGCAAAGGTGTGTACACTTGGGGGGCCAGGGACCAATGAAGAGTGAACTGCAGGGTAGCGCTGAGCGAGGACTAACCCTAACCCCACCTGCCTCCACATGTGTTCATGACGGTGATTCACATTTTCTTACGTGTTACTGGCAAATCAACCCTTTGAGATGTACTATAATAGTAAAATACCCGGCTAGCATCAACTCTTGATGCAAATGAACTACGAAAACCGCAATGCCAGGCAAGTTTCCGAGCCCCGCTGAAATCCCCTCCACAACCACGCTGGCTAGCACTCAAGGGGAATACAAATAATTTTATTTTCTCTTAAGAGACACACAGAAATATTTCACAATAAAATTGTACGATGTCTGGGATTTCCTTCAAAATCACTGAGGGGTCAGGAGGGAAGTGCTTGGGTGAGTACATAGACAAAATAAGACTGGTCATTACATTAAACTAGTGAGGGCGGGAGATGAATATCTGAGAATTCATCATACGATTCTATTGTGTGAATGTTTCGAGTTTCCATAATAAAATTTAAAAATTATATCAGACACTTCCTCCCCCAAATACCCAAGTAAATATATTCCTGAAATTTACTACGACACACCAAAGCCATGGAATTAACTAGTGTACAATTGGCTCTAAGGTATACTGTAAGGTATACCAAAATAGACACTAAGAATTTTTTTAAACGACATCAATATGAAATTCAATTGTATTAACTGTGAAGAGAACATTCTGAAAGTGCAAGCTATAACAAAAATGTTTAATTTTCATAATGCTGACATGAAACAAATGGTTCTATTGACATTTAAAGTGAAATTTGTGATCTTGGATTCTTTTTATAGTAGCCCAACATAAGACAGTCCCTACCCTTCCTCCCAGAGTAAAAAGTGGCCGTTGAAAGCTTAGCCAGTTCTAACAGTGGAGAAAAATGAGGCATGGTGATTTTTTATTTTTTATAATTTTCCTTTTTTTAAAAAATCCTCACCCAAGGATATTTTTCCATTGATTTTTAGATAGAATGGAAGGGAGGGAGGGAGAGAGACACACACACCAACTGGTTGCCTCGCACATGACCCTGACTGGGGCCAGGATCAAACCTGAAACCCAGGTACATGTCCTTGACCAACACTCGAACCCACAACCCTTCAGTCCCTGGGCCCACACCCTAAATGCTGAGCCTGGCCAGGGTGGTGATTTTACTTTAAGTGGAGAACACTGGCATGCAGGGCTTGCATGTTTGTCTCCAGCGTGTGAACTACATCACACACGTCACACTCAAGAACTCAGAAGTGGTTTGGGCTCCGCGGTAACGGAGGCACCAATCCGGAGGCGTTGCCATGGTGGCAGTGGAGTACGCGAAGGCTGTCAGGGACACCGCCTCTCCTGGAAGCTCCGGGACCTCACAAATGCCTGCTGTGTGTACCTGTGACCTTTCTGTCACAGCCTTTTCAAAGCAGACCCACAAGTTCTCATCTTGTTTGAAGCTGCCAGAACACAAAATACATAAAAGTTCTCAATTCCCAAAATAGTGAGAACAGAAAAATAAGTTACAAGACACCTTCACTCTCCTGTTCACAAGACACGAAAAAGGTCCAGCATGCTGCTCAAAAGTGCATCAGAAAACCCGGGTCACTCCCTTCCGTGCCCCTCAGCTTCCACAGTGAAACCGCCCAGCCAGTGCCCACGGCGACCGAGAAACCACCTGGCCAGTGCCCACGGCGACCGAGAAACCGCCCGGCCAGTGCCCACGGCGACCGACCAAGAAACCGCCCGGCCAGTGCCCATGGCCACGGAGAGAAAGGGCAGCTGTAGAACAGCGAAGAGGACCGAACGGGCGCCCGGTGGAGGGACAGCGAGCGCCCTCAGGGCAGCACGGTAGGGAGCACGAGCCCCGCCCAGGTGCCGGAGCCTCTGGAAGGACGTCGCGGTCAGTGACAGCGACAGGCCCAGCCGTAGCCTCGCCTCCGCCACGTCTCTGACAGTCTGCTGACCTGGCTGTTGGAGAAGCTGCCACGGGTGTGCTCAGCTAACACATTTCAAAGAAAGACCCTATTCTATTTATTTAGGCAAATGTTGAGAAAATAAAATTATTTGATGTGTTTCACAAAATAGCTACTGATTTTACGGACAGGAATATACTGCGGCACCAAATGAACAGGAATACGCTTCATCGTTCCAGAAGCAGCTGCAGGCAGACACAGCCCCGTTTTTACCTTCCTGCAGTCGATTGCAAAGATTGCTTAGGAAACACCTTGATTTAACACAGTGAGAAACAGGAACAACCTGCCCGACATCTAGATTTTCAAACTTAAAGAGGTAAGTTTTGCCCGGCCAGTGTGGCTCAGTGGTTGAGCATCAACCCTGCACCAAGAGGTCGCCGGTTCGATTCCTAGTCAGGGCACATGCCCAGGCTGTGGCCCGATCCCCAGTGGGGGGCACGCAGGAGGCGGCCAATCGATATTCTCTCATCGATGTTTCTCTCTCTCTCCCTCTCTATAATCAATAAAGAAAGAAAAAATTTTAAAGAGGTAAGTTTCTTGTTAATATATTAATAACAGTTTGATTCACATAAAATTCATAAAAATTTTAATGGTCAGTTATTCTTCTACGCATGAATATTTTAAAACAACATAAAGATTACGTTCTACATTCACAATCAGGGCCATGTGAGAGCCTGAGGCCCCGGAGAAAGGAGGACAGAGCCCAGCAGGGCAGCCGCAGCCACCCCGCCGCTGCTCCTCCCGAAGCTCCGCCCCATCGCTCCGGTCAGGGCACCTGTCTCCTGACCCTCTCCTGACCCTCTCCTGACCCTCTCCTGACCCTCTCCGGCAGCACCAAGCACACAGAATTGTAGCTGAACCTCTTGTCAGTTATGATTAGTCAATTCTTCCTTTTCTAAGACTTGCTCTCAATCGTGCCAGTATTCGGGGCAGGGACAGCAGTAAAAAGTAGAGCACACACGACCAATGTGTCGAAATATTCCAGTAAAACTATAGCCAGCCATTCATCTTTGTAATGTAAAATAATCAACACATAAGTAATTACAGTCCTGAAATGCCTTTCTATTTAATAAAGAACCATGTTAAATTCCCTCATTTTAAACAAAAAGAAACACTGAACAGCAACTTTCACAAGATAGCCACATTTCCTCCCAAGCCAAGGAACAACATTGATTAGCACTAGGTTACCATTTCAACAACACTGAGTTGGATAAAAATTAAAATTGACCTTGAAATACTGGGTGTCTTCCAAAACTCTGACTGACATGAATTAGGGATAAACCCAAAAATAAAAATTAGCAGAAAACCACAATCAAGACAAAATTTATTTTAAAAGCCCTCTGGTCAAAGTACTGAGAAAGACAATACATTCTCAGCAATTAAAGTACTAAAAACTAACACCTGATTGTATCAATACTGGTTATAGATACAGAATCAGACCAGCTGATTCCAAGAAAGATCAACCATCACATCATGACAGGTCCATGTACCCCCTGTAGCTTTGAACATTATTAGTAGTATTTTAACATTTTTAACAGTAAATGCAAACCCATGAAAAGAAGTTTTTAAAGCACTTTAAGATGTGTGAGCTGAAATGTGTGAAGGAAAGGGGCTCAGTCACCTGTGCGTCCCCAGAACCAGTCCTAGCGACTGGAACACGCTAGGAATTCACGTTTGCACAGCTGGTGGGACAGAAGAGTCTCACTCCTCCAGGACAAGGACAAAGAAATGTGGGGCCACTCTAAAAATACAATTTTGAGCTATTTCTGAAATGTCACAGAAAAACTTTTAGGTGTGTGTTTATACACACACACACCTACCTGTGTACCTCATACTCATAGACCTTCACAAATACACACCCTAGTTTTACACATTTTGAAGGCAGACTTATGGTCTGGATAAACCACCATGTATATTAATACATGCATTTTGCTTGTAAACTGCTAACCGGGGGAGGCAGCTGCTTGGTCGTGCTGACATTTCTTGCACGTGAAATGACGCAGCAAACACACTTCCCTGGGTGGACGGTCAACAGGCAGTGCTGTTCACCGGTAAAACGCGAGGCTCCTCAGACTTAAAGGGAAAGACCGACCTAAAATAACTCAAGACCAGTGGTGCTCACGACAAGGTTATTCCTGTCACAGGAGCTTTGCACCCACTAGAATGTGCTTAATTCAGTGGGAGGTAAATCACTCAACACACTCAGGAAATTAAAGCAGCTTTTGCTTATAGAACAACTGTCTGCAGCTTCCGACATCATCTGAACTTTCCCTCTGCCTCACGTCACGAGTTCCAAGAACTCTCCTTTCTTCTGAGTGGTTTTCCACTTGGCAACAAGCTCTCTCCAGCTGTTTCTGAAGAGCAGCCAGCTCAGCGGCCCGTCCACGCACCGGGCTCGCCGGCACGCCACCCCAGGCACTCTCTGGACATCAAATACTTGAATTAA